CGCGCGATTTTTTGCGCAGCTCGTCAGTGAACAATGGCTCTGTGTAGTTAATGCTGCTCAATGTGAAAGCCCGCAGACGATGGAGATTTACCGCTGATTACAGAACCGGCTTTTTGACAAGATGCGCATTAAATATCGCATGCGATTTATCGTGCAGCCCTATTACACACACACACACACAGATATACACAAATACTGTGTTTTTGGCAGAAACCATGGTTACCAAAGTAAATTTTGTACACACACTTTAAAACTTAAAGAAATAGAGCATAGATATTTGTACATTTTGCTACGGGTGTCTGTTTCTGACACTAGTGATGATTATTTATACATCAGTTCAATATTTACCGTTCAGTCTGTATCGTCTATGCACTACTGAACTCTCTATGACTTTTAAAAGAAGCCTGTTTCTCTGAAACTCAAAAGGCCAGTTTTGATTCAGTAAGATTAATTAAAGCTCAAGTATTGTTTGACAAGAAACCCCATTTTTCATCATCAAATATGTTTACAGTTGATACACTAGGTTCTACATTACTGTTGAATTTCTCCTTTTGAGTTGTGTTTCCTAAACATCCATGTGAAATGTTGTTTACATGTTCAGCTGCACTTGATTTATGCTCTGCCATCATGTTAAACATAATTTTAGACTTGTTTGCTCTCTCTCCTGCAATAATGTCCTTGAATTGCACATTGAATACTGCTAAAGGGCGATTTATCCTGTGAATATAAATGTATTTTACAGTAAAAAAAAAAATCTGTGTTGACAGAATACTGTGACAGTACTTTTGGTATTACAGAATATATATAATGTTATTTTACCTTAAAATGGTAAAAAAAAAATAATATCTGATAAGAAGTAAAATAATTTATATAATCTTTAATCATATGTGTTGTGTCATGCAGGGACTTCTGTGACTGTCTGTTTACTGTCTTTACCATAAATCATAGCTTTTACTTCCCAAAAACATTAATTTACAGTAAAATATAATGCATTGTTTACCATTCACAGTTTTCACCATATCAATTAACAAGTTAGCGTTACACAAGTGTAGCATTTTAGTCTTTTTCTGTAAAAATTACACTGTTTTAACGGTATACAGAAGATTTACAGCACAATGTTTGACAGACAAAACACCTGCTTAGTCACTGAATTGTGGAGCAGGTTTGCAGGAATGCTTTATGTTTTTAGAAGGCACATTTAGGATGACAGTGTACATGTACAGACAAAGACGGTGAATAATGTTTACTTCTGACACAGTAGTTTTGCTGTTACTCATAGCATCTGATGGTGAGAATCACATATCTTTGTCCAATTTTCCAGATGCATTTGTGATTAACCCTGCAATACTGTCTATGTCATGTTTTAAATGAATCATCTGTGGATTTCTTATTATTGAGGTATTTATAGACATGCATAAGTCATGGCCTTTTGCTTTGTTAACTAGGATTTATTCTTTTAATAGCACCACAGTATTCCCTGCAGAAGTTGATCTGTCATCCAGACAAGAAAGTCAGCCAGTAGTACAATTGTTTTCCTCAGCTGGTTCCCTTGGCAACTGTCTTGCAGTATTTATCAGTTTGGAGAGGTTTTACCTCTTCAATCCCCCTGAATGTCCCTTTTTTTCTTGTACCATTACTTCAGAGACTAATTAAAGACAGTCTTTAATGCCTATTTCAACTACATAACCTCTCAGATTTTGACTGACTCCTTATATTCATCTTTTTATTGCACTTTCATATTCAGTGTAGGGTTCCTGATTCATCTAGATTCTTATGTTTTTAATGAAATAGATTGGGAAAAGTGGTTTGAATCCACTCATATTCATATGAGAAAATGTAGCAAAGAATGACTTCTGCATGTCCTAATACGCTGTTTAAATCATGCAGATGGGAATTGGTGTAATGAGGTTTACCAATAGGCTTTTCAGGGTTAGAGATGAGCATTATGCGCAACGAACCATGCTCACATCCTCCACTGACAGCTCAGTGTCTTTAGTGAGCTCAATATTATCACTATAGCCAACGATCAAAGTTCATTTGGTGCTAAATATCTGATCGTGATTATGATAATGATTTCACAAGCACAAACCAAAATTGGTTCTACTGTTTTTTTTTTTGTTTTTTTTTATTACGATCAGTGAAAGATTAGTTAATCACATCTCTGAAGTTTGAAAATGAGCTTCATATGTTTGTATTGAGGATGTATTCTGTAGACGCTTTCATGTCTTGTTGCTTACTTCTACTGATGTTATCTAGCTCCTTTATCGAGAGGAGCCGCTCACAGGGCCGTGTTATGTAACACCAGAAAATTAGCATTTGAAAAATGGCTTTGCAGTTGGTGCTGTTGCTCATTGCTCTCGTGGACTGCTGGCTTTAGTTCACACTCTGAGCTGAGAGGAAGAGGAGCAGGGGGATTGTTGGCGGCTCAGAGTTGTGTAATCCAGCACAGGCGGCTATTGTTGGCTTTGAAATGGTCCCGCAGCACAGTGACCACACGGAGACCCCTGATGAATATTGATTAGCTGCACTTGAATCAAATGTGATGTGTTGGTTTGATTTTTATGCTGAAAATAAGCAATGAAAGCTCATGTAATGTTTTTGAAGGACCTTGAAGGTGGTTGTGGATTTCCAGTGTTTTCATTGCCTGTACAGTCCTCTCTTATATTATCATCAGGGATCAATAATAATTTTTTTTTTTCCTTCTTTGATCTGATTTGGTCAGCCAGTTGTTCAGATTTACCTTTTATTATTGAAACATTTATGACTTTCATTTGCTTCACTTTATTTGCTTTTGCCAAGTTAGGCTTTTTTTTAATTGCTAGACATTACTTGAAATACAGCTATAATGTATATGATGTTCCATAAAAATTCATAAACACACTCTTAAGTTGGACAATCAAAGCACAATTTTTATGACTTTCATTTTTTCGCAAACCATTCTTGCAATTTCGACAAATCCACATCTGTGTTGGCCAGCTGTGTTAAATATGTCACAGAAAAATGATTTTATACATTTGCATAAAATGTGATTTTTTTTAATTTAAATTAAGAAATGTATCAATTTATTTTTCCCTTTCAATTGAGAAAGGAAAATCAGCTCCATCAGTCAAGTTGTCAGCCCCCCCGGCCGTTAAATTAGTTTAACCCATTTTGCTTGCTGCATCCTCACAGGCGCATGACAACGGGCTTGTGTAACACATATTTTCAGAACCAGTTCTATCTGGTTGATGAGCCGTCTGGTTGGGGTGCTTCTGAGAGACGGAGCGTCTGGATTTTTCTTGCTTCTGCTGCTTTGATTGCGTAATGTTCCTCAGATCTGGAGCACATGAGAGATGCACTTTTCTGCTTCTCCTCTCCTGCACATGAATAAAGATGCCGTGGGTCTGCTCCGATGTCCAGTGGGCAGCTAGTTCTTCCCTCTGAATTGATTCCTTTGGACAAGCAAACACGTAAGACATAAGATTCTCAGCTTTCCAATTTCCAGATTTTGATGGAAACATACGCCATGACATTTAAACTAAGGAGGAACAATATTGATTAAAAAAAAACAAAACATGGTGTTTATTTCAGTCAAGAACATTTAGTGCATAATAATTGCATACCGTCACCATGCTGCTCCTTTCCTAAGCATATGCTCACTCATTATGAGGGCTGAAAATATGCTGGGATTCCCTCAGGCATTGGCTTTTCCCTTAGGCAGGACTATTCGTCCCAATTAATCTTAGCACTAAAGTGTGACCGAGTGAGCTCGGGTTCCCTGAACCCTGTGCCTGTTGGGAAGGTTTAATGGTACTTGAAAGTCACAGCGTTAGTCACTTGTCTGCTGCCCCCAGCCTTGTCCTCACAAGACTCCATCCCAAAAAAAACGACTGTGATGGTTCCGCAGTGAAAAAGATGATCTGAGGGCCAGTAAGCATAGAAGCCATGTTGTAATTAACACCAATCAACCGTGCCTTAATTAAGTGGCATGAGGGCCGACTGTCAGGGCCACTGGAGTAGGACAGGATTGATGGGCATGGCTGAACCTGCTGCTCAGGGAAAGAGGAACTGTCTGTGGTACTGAAACCTGATCCCAGTACTGTCAATTTACAGACTGTAAGATTTGCTCCCATCGAGTAGTTAATCAATTCATTTTTATTTTTTTTATTTTTTTTTAGCACAAAGGCATAAATGGTGATGTTAAAATTAGAGGTCGACCGATAGTGGATTTTGCCGATACCGATAGCTAGGTTGGACCACACTGGCCGATACCGATTAATTAACCGATTGTTTTAAAATTGATACTGAACAAATAGATAAAATAGTGCTTTATTTACAAAAACAGTACTGAACCATACTAGTAGTAGTAGTAAAAATAATAATAATAGTTATAGTAAATGTTGAAATTAACACCCTCTAACAAGGAACAATACTTACACAGCTTTCATTAATCTTAATGCTACAAATGGACTCTTATTTTAAAGTGTTGCCACTTAATTTCAACTGTCATGCTTAAAGATGCACATCTTTAAATATATACACAAAGGCTATAGCATTAAAATTATATACATATGGATATTGTATGTATACTCTCA